TTTCCTGAAAACCCTCTTCTGTCTGATCATTTCCTGATAACATTTAAATGTACAATAATTGATTACACAACAGTGGGGAGTAGATTTCATCACAGTAGATGTCTTTCTGAAAGCGCTGTAACTAAGTTTAAGAATATCATCCACCCACTGTTAGCATCATTAATGCCCTTTACCAACACAGAGAAGAGCAGCTATCTGAACGCTACTCCAACAGAGGTCGATTATCTTGTTAATAATTTTGCCTCCTCACTATGTATGACTCTGGATACTGTAGCTCCTGTGAAAAATAAGGCCTCAAATCAGAAGTAATTGACTCCCTCGTATAATTGTCAAACACGTAGCCTAAAGCAGATAACGCGTAAGCTGGAGAGGAAATGGCGTGTCACAAATTTAGAAGATCATCATTTAGCCTGCAGAAATAGTTTATTGCTTTATAAGAAAGCCCTCCGTAAAGCTAGAACATCTGACTGATCATCACTGGTTGAAGAAAATAAGAATAAGAAAATAAGAACAACCCTCTTTTCAGCACTGTAACCAGGCTGACAAAAAGTCAGAGCACTGTTGATGTTACAGGCCCCACTATGGTGGGCGCGCAGCCAGATTACGATCCTGTAAAACAGGAGAGAAAGTGAACACAGGAGACACGCTGCCGTTCGCCTGGTTAATCTTAGCAGAATGGAAAGCTTACGGCAGCTATGCACCCGACTCAGTTCCCAAAGCACGCTGCTGCCCCCTACTGTCCAAAGTGTTATACACTCTCCTGGCAACAGGGAATTTACATGACGTTGTGGATTTAAATTACGCCAGTAAACCAGCAAAATAAAACATGCATAATAATCTCCATATATCACGGCACTTAACTCACAAATGTGACCACATATCTGTGTGGATCACATTGAGCCAACCATTTATTTAACATAATGACATGAAATTATTCACAAATAAAATTTTAACCATTAGAGAAAAATTACTCATAATCATCTCACAGATTTAGCATTATCTACAGCTTTCTTCAGCACCATTGATATTCATTTAGACTCTTTTTCTCCAATTGATCTTTCTGAGTTAACTTCAGTAATTACTTCCTCCAAACCATGAACGTGTCTTTTACACCCCATTCCTACAAGACTCATCAAAGAAGTCCTATGGTTAATTAATGCTTCAATGTTAAATATGATCAACCTATCTCTAATAATCAGCTATGAACCGCAGGCCTTCAAGCTGGCAGTAGTTAAACTGATACTTAATACAGAGTCCATTGTGAGTGTGCGACCAGTATCTAAATAGCAATCCTTTAAATAAATAGTCATATTAACACACTGCTGAAACAGAGGATATAAATAAAGGTTGATTAATGATTTAATGGGTATTTTTCCTAAATTGAGGCAAAATACAAAAAAACCTGTACAGATTGGACCTGTATGTATTGAGACGGACAGCGTGGGTCAAATCAAGGGAAAATAGTTTGTTTTTGGCAATTTTGAAACTGCACATATCCTGTCTATGTGTATTTTTTATGGGACAGCAGTCACAGAGATCAAGGCAGGAGTTTGAGTCTATGTTCCCACTATAGTTGCCCAGGTTCCCACAGAGACAGACACTCGCTGGTCTTTGAAGGATTGTAGGAGGAATTTTCAAAGAGTTTAACACTAAAAGGACATAAAAGTGATCATGTATGGTGCAGATAAGGAAGAGAGGTCACACAGAAGTCAAAGGGTGCCTTAACATTAACAGTGCATAGAATGAAGTGCTGTATGAACTTGGACTTAGTGGGACTTGTAGTTAAATACACTTTGAGTGATCAGTAATCCTAGAAAAGTGCTGTATAAATGTGAGCAGATTACATGCCTATCTGTTACTCCATCAAACAAAACCAAATCCATTTACTCTGAGCTGGGATTAAAAGAGAGATCAAAGAGGAATTGGAGGATTCATAACATTACAATCTGCCAATCTGCAAGGTTTCTTTAAATGAACAGACTAGTTTCCAATAAGCAGGTTTTGTGCTTTAAATGTTAATTAATGTTAATTAATGTTAATTTAATATTGATGAATATAAATGGCAGATATGAGTAGTTTCTTTTATTTAGTTGCATAAGGTGTTATCATGAATAACAGCAGTTGCAGAAAGTTATTGGCATTGTCACTTTCAACAGAATATCATTAAATGATTACTGTTGATATTTTTGCATGTCTTAAGATAAGCAGGACATGATAGTTTTGCTAGTTTTTTTTTTATCACCAGCTCTCTTCCACAGTGTGTCTTTTGTCTCGGCCAGTGGCCGCCCCTCCCTGAGCCTGGTTTTGTTGGAGGTTTCTTCCTGTTAAAAGGGAGTTTTTCCTCCCCACAGTCGGCAAGTGTTTGCTGAGAATGTTTTGTCTGATTATTGGAGTTTTCTCTGTATCACTGTAGGGTCTTTACCTTGAAATATAAAGCACCCTGAGCCCCTTTAGCCCTTCCCCAGCTCTAATTTGCGGCTACGCATCTCCTCTGTCCTCTAGCCTGAGACTCAGAAGTTCATCTTGGTGCATCACAATGAAGGCCATCTCAAGTCTTATAATGCATTTAGAGGACAAAGGAGAGGAGCTGTGGTTGAAGATGCACAGGTGTACCCTTTACAGAACATTTTTACCTTCAAGTATAACGTAGACATGGCTCACAACCAAGAGTGGAGCAGGACTCTTCAAAACACTCATTGATTTTATTCATATGCTGTTTCAGTTGAGATGATCAGCAGCTTTCTGCCCTTCACTGTGTGTGTGTGTGTGTTTGATTAAAAAAGTATGACATCTTGTGACTTTGCATCATGTGTTTAAATGTAATTCAAAGTAGCCCGATATGTAAGGCGAGTTATCAACACTGTTACATCTGACATAAAATGCAGCTGTGACACAGTTGTGCTCCCGGCTGTGTTGGACTGACATCGCTTTAAAATGAGGCTCCGTGCTGAGGATGTCTTACTTGTTTAAATGTTTTCCTCTCTCCTTGTGTCTGTTCCTCGCCACCTCTGCTGGCATCATTGGCAGGAGGTACACAGGAGAAGAGAAATTAGAGATGTGAGAAGAGGGATTCACTCCTCTTATGCAACAGAATTTTGAGTGCAAACATCTGCATTTTATAAAAGGATGTAGGAGATAAATCCTGTCATAGTGCAAATTCAAAGAAATGGAGGGTGACTTTTTGCTGCAAAGAGAAACAATATTGTCCATTAGTTCGGAGTCACCCTCCATTTCTTTGAATTTTCTCCCATTGAGCCACATATATAAACATAAAAATCAAGGAAATTAGTGTTTTTTTAAAAATTATTTTTCTCTTGTAACAATACTTCTTGGTGATACATCTTGTTACTGTTTGAAAGCCTGTTTATTTCCCCTTAAGCAGTGCCACATTTGTACGGAAAATGCATTTGTGAGAGTCAGTTCCTCGCATGAAAAACTTGCCAAATCTTCTCTGCCAGTGCCAGCGTAGAGAGTACATTGGTTGGTTTTTGAGAAGCCATTTTTAAACAATGAAAAGACAGAGAAAAATCTGAGGTATGCCAAATTACACAAGGACTGGGCTGAAAATCAGCAGGAACATGTCTTATTCAATTCAATTTAGTTTTATTTATATAGCGCCAATTCACAACAACAATGAAGTCAAGGATAAAGACCAGGCTCAGGAAGGGGCAGTGACCTTCCAAGGCCAGTTGAGATTAGGAGAAAGAGAAGAGGGCAATGAGATAAGACAAAAGCTTTATCAGAGCTGGAAAGCTTTAAGCCTAATCTTAAAGATAGAGAGGGCATTAGTTGCCTAAATCCAAACTGGGAGCTGGTTCCACAGAAGAGGGGCCTCAAGGCTCTGCCTCCCAGTCTACATTTGAAAACGACATATTGAAAGCAAAGTGCTCTGCTAGGATAATAAGGTAATATAAGATGTAAATCTAAGATTTTTAGTCCCAGCGAGTACTCTTGCTGTAGCATTCTGGATCAACTGAAGGCTTTCAAGGAGTTGTAGTGAGTGACCTAATAATAATAATTAATTACAATAGTTTAGTTTAAAAGTAATAAATGCAGGAACTAGCTTTTCAGCGTCAGTGAAAGACAATATGTTACTTTAGTGATAATGCAAAAATAAATGAAAGCTGTCCTACATAATTGCTCAATGTGCACGCTGGCAGACGCTAAAGGTTTAGGGCTGTGTTTCAGACAGTTGTATTGGGGATACTGTCAAAATTAGTAAGTTATGAGCACCGAAAAGTAGCAGAAAAAATAATATTGTTTGAAAAGTGCCTGAATAGCAAAGGTGTCGAGGTACACTGGGGAGGAGAAAGAGAAGAATGACTGTCGGGGAAATCTTTATTGTCAGGGGAAGCTGCAAAACCTATGAAAATACTGTTAAAAGTCCAAAATGTATGCTGTCCTTCACATTGTCCAATGCCGCACATAAGGCCAGATTGGAGCTTTTGCAGGGTCAATTCTGGCCTGCAGGCCTTATGTTTGACATCCCTGAGAGAAATCTTTGCGTTGTAGTTTATAAAAATAGGCATTTACTTACTTTTTCATTCACATGGCTGGTCTGTTTTTGGATTTATTTAAATTATGAAAGTGATCACCTGTACCTGTATGCACCGTTTCAAATACTGTTCCAATAAGCAAAAGATATCCATGTGATGAACTGAATATGTTTATGAGAATATAGTAGCAGCCCGATTATTCCTAATCCATAAGGTGTACAATCAATCATGGCCAGTGTGTGAATTTGTCAGTTTAGGAACACATTAGTTTAGGACACATATTAATAACTTTCAACAGAGGGTTAGGGAGGTGAGCCAGCATTTTGAGTTTATCTTCTAGTTTTGATTTCTTATGTTAAATTGAAAATATGTTACGTTCTTGTGTTATTATTTAGTTAGAGTTTAGTTGAAGTTTAGTCTAGTTTATGTTATTGTCCATGTCTCCTTGTTAATGAGTCTTTTTCTCTTTGTCATGTGTTATCTCCTTGTCTATCTAGGTTCCCCTGGTGTTTCGCTCCCTCTCATTCTCTTGCGTCAGGCTTGCATGTCCCAGTTCCCATGTTTCCTGTTTTATTTTGAAACTCTAGTGTTTCCATGTTCAGTTTAATTTTGCGGCCCCTGTGGCATCTTGTTCATTTGTGTCAGCTGTGTTTCCCCAGGTGTTTCCACTTCCCTCATTACCCTTCTGCATATTTAGGTCCTCTGTCTTCAGCTGTGTCTCAATTCAGGGGCTGCATCCTTCGGAGGCTGCATTTGATGGCCGATTACATCACAGCGACGCAAAGAAGGCTGTCCCAATTCGAAGGCTGCTCCAAATGCGGCAGTTTCCAACAATGGCAGCAGCTACTTAATTTTAATATTACTCTTATTACTCTTTGCAATACTTTATTATTTAAATCAGTAAATGGCAGAGGAGCACGGCTAAAGAGGTTTAATATGACTCTTTCTCGCCTGAAAATAAACTTTTAAGATATTTTGAGGTGAGAATGTAGCTGTGTAAACTTAAAATATCTTCTCGATTTATCAAGACATCACATATTTGCAAACGTGCTCTGACGTTTTCGGAGACGTCTGTTACCCACCAGCTTGATCAGTGACTGGGAGGTCAAGGCTCACTAAAGCTGGCGAGAACAACGAATTCTCGGCACATCGTTTTCAGGCCCCGCGCGATCGTTCACTACTCAGGTTAAACATGATATATAAGTCACTTAGATAACTTAAAAATGTTACGTCAAGCAGAAAACTGATGTGAGAAGTGTGAGATGGTAGAGAATTTACTCCGATCTCCTGTTATATTTTAGATAGCAAGGAGCAGACGGGTGAGTTTACTAAACTCCACCGAGACAGTGGTAACGCAAATCTGAAGGCTGGACCGTCCCATTTTACAGCCTCGCACTTCCGGCCTTCTCTGTCTTTGGAGGACCCGGCCCGGACGTAGACACAAAGGCTGGGTCCTCTGAAGGATGCAGCTCCTGAATTGAGACACAGCTTTCCTTTGTTCAGTGTCAGTGTGTCTGTTTTAAAGTATTTAATAATTCTGTTCAGGTCATGGTCATGTTCATGCTTTTCTCATCATAGTTTCTCACATGCTCCTGCTCAGAATCATGTTCATGTGACTTTTCACAGTTGTCATAGTCTAGGTTTTCCCAGTTTGGGTTCTAGTTTTAGTTTACACCCCTGTATTGTTTTGTACTCATGTTTTTTCAGCCAAATAAACGGCTCGCCTTTCAAACTTCTGTTTCATCGCTCTGTCTGCTTTTTGGGTCCACACCGCAAACACACCGGCTGCTCAGCCCTGACACCTTTTCAATGAATCAGAGAACAACACATAAAGCATTTTTTGTATATGAATGTGTTTATTGGTCTTTTTTTTTTTTTTAAAGAAATCCATAACAAAATAAAAGGAGATGATAAATGCCTGGTTGTCATCAGCCAGTTGAATAGACGTAATAACACCTTTATATGTCCTTATTAAACATTTACAGTCAGTCAAAGCGCTTCACTTGCACTCTTTGTGATTGTATTGTAACCTGTGCAGATCAGAGCCTCAGTATAACACTGACATATGCGAAAAGAAAGAAAAAATCTGTCTTTCATAAAGCTAAACTGTGATTTCACGTGGTAAACAGTTTGTTTTCTCATGTATTTATTTATTTTTTAGTGCACCACCTAACTGCTGTCTTGGCTTAAGACTAAGGCACTTTCCAGAGAAACGTCTTTCCTTTTACTTAATTTTACATAAAAAGCTCTTTAATTGGCACAATTTACAAAACTGTGCCACATGTATAGATATTTTTTTCATTTTTTATTTATAGACACAAATAGTATAACACATTCAAATGCACTAAACCATTGCTGTTCTGCACTAAAAGCTTATTTAGCACTTTATAACATCACATAAAACAAATAACACATGTACCAGATGTTTTCTTGTGAGTGTATCACTCCAGCCATGACACGAATGCCTCCTTGGACCAGACCTGTCTTTACAAATGTCCTGACTTCTTGAATGGTGACGCAATCTGTCCACAGAGAGACAAACACCTACTCAAATCTATCTGCGTAGTAGTTCCTGCTGCGAGTTTCTCTAGGACCACGTTTTGGCAGGATGACGCACTGACAGAAACACAAACTGACAATTTCTTAAGTACAGTGTACATGATACAGAAAGGATAACATATTCAGAATCTTACAGGAACAGAAAAAAACATCATTGGTTTGGATAATATCAGTTCATAGTCTCACTTTTCATAAATCATTTGTAAAATGCTGTAACATTATTGACATAGAGGAAAAAAAATGTTGCTGTTACATTCAAGCAGCCAACGGAGTACAACAAGTCAACACTATAGTACCGTAGATTAACAGCAGTGTGCCAAAACCCTACACTGAGATGAGCTATTATTTGCAGCTGTGCTTCAATGGAAGTATCAAAAAGTTTCCCCAATATTTCATTACAATAAGCTGGATGTTCGGTTTTAATAACAACAAAGAATGCAATGTCTTCTGCAGCTGAGCTCCGCCTACGATAATCATCACTGTAAATCTAAAAAAAGCAGGAAGCAGGTGGTAGTTTCAGTAGATTGCATTGAATAATGTAAGAAGAAACTATCACAGATAAAACCTTCACTCAATGTTCAGTGATGGTCCAGCAGAGGGAACCCTCACTCCAACTATCTGCAGCCATGACAAGGCATTTGCATAGGTCATCTCTACCCTTATGAGATGTACAGTTAATAATGAACAGTGCAGGTGGGCAGCAGCAATGTCAGGAGTGCACCCTCGAGAGCGTGACAATGCATTCAAAGCACCTGAATAGCATCGCTGAGGACACAGCAAGGGTAGAAGGTACAGCATGTCAGGTATGAGTTGGAACACACGGAAAATCAAGTATTAGGCAAAAAATCGGCACTGCAGTGAAGATGGAAACCAAAAATATGCATATTGAGTCAGGTCAACTTCAAGTATATTGCAGTTCATTAAAGGACTGTAAAAGTATTATTAGGGAGAGAAGTTTGTCTCCTTTTCTGCAGTGTCCTATAATTCTCTGATATTATCTTCCTCACCCGCTATATTTTAAACTGCTATTTACTTATAGGATTTATCATAAAACAGATAACAGCAGCAATAAATTAATAATTCATTTGTTTTTGTTTCAAATGTCTAGGTTGTTTTTAAATATACATTTAACTTGTATTTAAACATTATTCAGTTGGATTTTGATGTCCTAAATAATCCATCTAAACTATATAAATAAATCAGCCATCCTCTGTGTTTATCACGTGATGTACACAGAGGATGGCTGGACTAAAGAATTGTTTTTACCCTCTTCATAAGCAATCATTAAAATACGATCCAATATAAACATCTCATGAGCTGATTTTTTTTTTCTGGATTTGATGTGCTCAATTTAATACGATTTAGAAAATTTAGAAGAGCTGCATGTTTTTATGAGGTATGGAGCATGTGCAGAGCACCTGAGTCCCTCATGCCATTATTTATTTAATTTTTCCCAGTGTAATTACCACTGTGCAGCTTTCATCTAAACATATGAGGCACCATTTTGTCTGGTATCCAGCCTATGATATATTGCAGGGGTGGAGCCAAGTGGTGGCCAGGGGTGGCCTATTTGGGAACTATATGTGTCTACTATTACTGTGTCTATTACTGAACAGAGTGAACTAAAAAAAATGTATGCTTTTTCTTTTTGAAGCATTTCTCAGCAGCTGTTGTTTCCTGGTGGCACACTTCTGCATGTGTGTTATTAGAAAAATAAATGGAGACGTAAGTTTCTGGGCCACCCCAGTGTAACTAATAGTAGCAGTCTCAGCCAGTGTCCAGGTGGCCGGCTGCCATTGCCCAATAATTTTCATTACGACTCTAAGAAAGAAAAAGGGTCCATCACTCATGGAACCCCCAGAAGCAGCAGAAACTGGTGTGCGAATTCAGCTCATCACACTGACTGTATTTCACTGATGACAGTGATGTATTCATCAAAACCTTGAAGCAGCTGATCTTCAGCACTTTGAGCTCTACCAGCCTGTCGACATTACATATTTTCACCTTCAGCATTACATGTGATTTTCTTTTTAGCAGATGCATCTGCATTTATCTTTTCTTTTGCTCTGTTAACACGATTATTTTTTATAATTTAAACTAGTGTGTGTGTGTGTGGAAAGGGCACGGATAATAATGCTAACATTTGCACTTCTCCAGCACACTAATGCTCATCACAGCTGCGTTGACAGCCAGAGGAAAGGCCACACAGCTGAGCAGAGCTTTTGCTCACATTGATTGCACGCCTCTCAATATTCAATGCTGACAGACTCAAAATGAAATCCTACTTCCTCCATTTAAGTGTGTTTCAACCAGTCTAATATGTGTTTGAAGCCCACCTAAAAGCTTTCATATGATTAAAAAAAAAAGAGAGGCTCTCTATTGAGCATGGTTTTACAGATGTAAAGCCTCATATTAAGGACACATTAGGTGCTGATGGCTCGTTAACAGAGGGAGGGAGAGAATGAGTACAATCTTAAGACGGCAAGAGGAGTAGGGATCATATGCACAGCGGCAGACCATGCACCTCCCCCTCGCTAAGTGCTGCAGAGATGTAAGGGTACGTGTGTATCTGTGTGTGTGTGTGTGTGTGTGTGCATAGGAGGAGGGGGAAGGGGAAAAGAAAGTGAGAGTGTGTATCTGCGTGCGAGCAGAGGCAGATCCTACAGTTTCATGGTGGTTGTAGATGGAACAGGAGGAGAGGAAAAGGAGCGGCCAGCAGTGGAGGTGTAACCTCAGGTGGCCGGGTTTCTGTCTACCTTGCCAGCACTTCATGCATTGTCAGCTGATGAATGCTTCCACGCTCAAGAAAATGGAGTGGGCATCATAGAGTGATAAAGCTTAATGTGACAAGATCTCGTTGTTGCTTTTTTAACATACATTAATCAAAGATTAAAGCTCCGTTTATGCGAAATCCTTGGTAGATTTACATTTCCTCTTTAAGAAATCTCCTCTCTATGAAGCTGAGAGGGAGGCGATGCCCAGGAGTGAGATTATTGGTCTGGTGTGGTACACTGGGTACAAGCGGTGTGTTTGATTTTTTTTTTTTCCAGGAGTCTCCCAGGAAGGGGAAATGTGCTTCTCTTCACGTGTTCCATGCTTATGAGGTCTGACAGCAGAGAGCACAATGCACTCCTCCGCCAGCACACCGCTAAAGCTTCTCATGCACAATCTCACACACAAACATACAAAGATTTCTCTCTCTTATGCACTCACACACACATACTCACACAGAAACATAATCCCTCCGTATTTCCCTAAGCCTGGACCAGCCAGCAGCAAAACCAACCATCCATGGCTTTGACCCTGAATCAAACATTTGGAGAAAGAGGGGACGGAGATCCATAAAAATAGGACAAGTTGTTTCAGTAGAAAAATAGAGAAATTTACAGAGGCTGATAAAATGTCTTTGGCACTTCTGAAAAAACATAAAATAATAATAATAAAAAAAAAACCCAGCACAGATCAAGAAATTGACACTGAGTATAAAAGGCCAATCTAGAAAACTCTACAGCCAGGAAAAGGTTGTGATGCTCTAAATTCATCCACGCATGAGTCTAGCTATTCCGGGGTGGATCTGAGCCTGCACCGGCCCGTACTCCACCACCTCTCCGTCCACAGTGATCATGCCTTGTGGAGTTATGGGCTCCAGTCGCAGAGCCTTCACCTTCTCGTACACCAGGTGGGGGCAGCCACATGCCAAGTGGCCACCTTTCTCCATGGCAAGGAAGAGACGCAAAAGGGCAGGTCGGGAGATTCCTGCTGTCACGTAGAACAGATGAATCAGACCGTCATCTGCCATTGCACCAGGGACTGTCCACAGGTCCTCAGCCAGGTGGGACTGGTAAATAGCCAACACCAAGACAAAGTCTTCCTCCTTGACTACTGTCCACGTGTCTGGGACAGGTTGCTCCAGGTCAGGGAGCAGAGAGTCTACAGGGGCTCTTGTCTTGGTGTCACTCTCGATCTGAGGCCTCTTGGTGGTGATGGCGTTGTTGGAAGAGTTGGTTCTAGTGTTGTGGTTTGAGTTCGTGCCATGGCGAGAGCTCGGGTTTGGGGAAGTGTTGGGGATAAACTGACAAGGAAGTGAAGAACAGAGTGAGGGGTGCTGAGGTGTGGAGGGTGGGTGGTTTGTTGTGAAGCTCCCTTTTGAAAGTTTTGGTGCTTCCTTCACAGGAAGGTATGCTAATCTGCCCTGATACACTCGGAGTGAGGCCAGACGTACCAGGGTGCCCATAAGGAACCGGATAGCTCCGACGTGGCGGTACTTCTCGCTCTCAATATCGACATCTGCCACAAAGCCCCAGGCCAGAGAGAGGAACGAGAAGAGGCGCTGTTTAGAGGCTAGGTGGACAGACACCAGGTCCAGGGGGCCAACCAGGCCTTTGCACAGCATGAAACCACAGCTCAACAGAAGCTCCTCATTCCATGCTGGAGGTGACCTGAAAAGTTGTTTAAGAGATCGTGAGGTAAGCCTCAATTTCTTTCTCTCCCTTTCTTTCTTTCATTCTTTCTCCCTGTCCTATCCCCCCGGCTGTCCTGTTTGTAGCAACCGAAAATAAAATAAATTCATAATTATAATAAAGGTCAATCAAATGGACCAATATGGCAAGGCCATGATGATCCACTTGGTAAAATAAATCCGCTTGGCATCTTTCTTGGCCTTAAGACAACAATTCTGATGGCTAAAGATCCAAACGGGACACACACAAAAAAAAAAAAAAAAATTCACAACTACTACATGGGACTACAGTGGGGGGGGGGTGGGGGGGGGGGGGGATTATTTGATCCCCTGTTAAATTTGTAAGTTTACTCACTGCCAAAGAAATGAAAAGTCTCTAACTTTTATGGTAGTTTCATTTTAATAGAAAGAGACAGAATATCAACCACCATGTCCTCAGGCAAGGTTGATATTCTCTTTCTCTCCATTAAAAATAAACTAACATTAAAAACACAGAACCCCAAAAACTGGGGATCAAGTCTGATCTCAAAACTTTGGATCTTCAAAGTTTCAGTGCTACACCTACAGACCTTCAGATCTTGTTATAAGTCCATGACTCAGCAGGTCAGAGCTGCACTGAATGCCCAACAGCTTGTTAGTCGGAGGCGGCCATAATGTTTTGACTCATTAGTGTATATTTCTGTTCGCCCTTTGATGTTGTGCTAACAACCAACCAGCAGATGGAGATGACACCTTGAACATGTGCTGGGTCAACATGTTCCCCAGCTGCACTCTGGACTATAATCACTCATAATGTGCCAGTTTTTAAACCCATTACATCATTCCTTTGAGAGTTGGAGGAACCTGAAATGACCTTGCCGCACAGCAAAGCAGTTGAAAGTCTCGTTTCTCTCCTGAGGAAATGATGTGCCCAGTCAGCCTTTGGCATAATTACACAAGCATGAGATAAATTGTCTTTTTTTTCCAAAGCTGAGGAAGGTTTATCTTTTGGACTGTTAGCCCATGCATTTAAATGACTCATTAATGGATCAACTCACTGTGAGTAGTGGTGGACGGATGCAGCCAGGGCATTGCCGGAGCCACCTGGTAGAATACCCAGAGGGATCTGAATGGCCTCTTGCCAGTCCTCTCGGTCCATAAGACCATTTATCACCTGAATAAGCAAGAAAAATAGAAGAACAGAATCAGACCGTGGTTCTAAATAGAAAGTAGTGACTGTGGAAGACTGCAAGTTCTGATAAAAAAGTGTTTCTCTGATAGTTACAGCTGTTCTGTGTTAAGTGTAGTGCTTCCAGGAAACATGAAGGTACCACGGTGGAAGATTTATAGAATCAGAGAATCAAAAGCAAAAAAGAAAAAAGAAAGAAATACCTTGACATTACTTATATTCTACATCATAGCTTGAAAAACATCCACAGAAAAAATTAAGGCTTTCATTTATCTGGTGCCAGACTCACATCACCTGAGCTCTTTTGTCAAGATTGAGAACAAATTAAATTTTTATAGTCCTATTCTAAGAAGTTCCTGAGAATAGGGAAGGGTTGTAAGAGTTTGTATGATTTTCATCTGCAGCTGATTAGCACTTGTGTCCTTGCCAAGTAAAGTTAAAGCACCTCAAACAGCAGCCCATCTCCGGACAAGATGACCAGTGCATCCCACTGTGACAGGTCCGCCTTTCTCACCAGCTCCCGAGCATGGTTCTGATGCTCTGGAAGACAAGAGAGGAGATGGAGAAGTAAAACACGAAGCAGAAAGTGCGGTGAAATGCGGGACGAAGCAAACACACAAAAACAAGGGCAAGGGCAGTGAAAGAAATATGCTCCCCTTTATCGCCAGCCTTTGGGGTAGGATCAGGGAGATTAGGCAGAAAAGAGATTTAATTTCCCCTTATCAGGGCAGACATATCACATTAGCCCATCCAGTGGCTACTCAACAGCTCCAAGGCAGCTTTAGCCAGCCTGCAAACATATGTGACTGACAAATATCTTAATATGTGTGTGTGTGTGCATGAATGTTGGTTAATGCGCTGGAGGAGCAGTGAGCTATTTGTTAAGCCTAGTTTTATTGGCAGCATCGTTGAGTAGGTCCCTCTGCAGGGGGCTCATCCTGTCAGCATCAAAGTCTACCGTCCCGCCAGCCGACACTCCCCAGTGAAGTTGTGCATGGTAAAAGAGGACGGCAGATATGAAATTAACAAACACTGATACGCTCACATCATGGTTGAAATACTGTTTTCTGATCTATTGATGGAAATAAAAACAGTGGCATCATCTTTTCTTTTCACTTTGCTCAATTTTTACCTGTCTTCCCCACAACCCCCATGCCTGGAAAGTCTCTTGGGTCTCCCTTTCCCCAGCGGTGCTCCCCATGTTGCTGCTGTTTGTTTGCCGTTTGCTGGGGAGGCTCGAGGCACTGATGCAGTGCTGTGTTGACAGACTGAAGCAGAGGGAGTAACTGCACTGCACAGCTGACTCAGCAACTTGAGCCCGCCGAGGGAGTTGATGCTTTACTTCCTAGCCACTTCCTTATTCAAGAGGTCGCTGTCACGCATACAGCCTTAAACATGATGGCAGAGGTGCCACAAAGTTTTCACCTGGCATGCTCGCTGTTGATTTTTCCACCATCTGCACACGACTAACAAAGATTTTGTTCCGTTTAAAATGTTTAAAATCCTCAGTAAATTCCACTTTAAATACAGCTGTTCCCAAGTTATGTCACCTTCGAGTGCCTCCTATTGAGGTTAAGCTGGGTAAAGATTAAACTTGGTGCACTGGATGCTTCATACAGTATGTAAAAGGTGCATGCTGACACAAGAGGTGCCTCCACTGGTACTTGTCCTTCCTCAGGCTAAGGCAGTGTGATACAGTCATCAAGGACCTGTCCCAGTAAATGGTTTATGCCAGTTAATCTGTATCAGACCAAAGAAGCCCTTTAGTGTTCCCTACCCCCACCTTATTTCTGTTTAACATTAGTTATTGTTGTTTTTCTGTTTACATCACCACCCAGCTGCCAGCCTTCCTTTGAATCCCAGAGGTCTGTATAATGAGTACACATCAGCAGCCTCTCTCAAATAAACAAACATGCAGCCTGTCCTGTTATTTTTTGAATTTGCTGTTGTGGTTCATCTGACATTGAGCTACACGCTACCAAGCTGATGCTAGAAGCAACAGCTGCTTCTGTTGATTTTGTCAAACAGGGTTTGGCTGGAGGCAAGTGGTAACTTCCAGGACTTAATAAGAAGACAGTGCTTTTACAGTTGTGGTGAGAAGTTCACATACACTAATCATGGGCACGAATGTAATGATAATTTGGGGCTTTTAATGATTTCTTTGAACTGTTCTTTTTCCAGCGTGGAATGATTTTACAGCATATCCCAAAAGATTCATTCTGTTCATCTGGACGTAGCGTTTTCAATGGGAAAAACATTTCGTCACTCATCCAAGTGACTTCCTCAGTCTCAGCTTACTACAGGTTGCCCCAACCTTATAAACAGTACATTTGCACAATAACTGAAACCTACATACATCTTTGGCGAGTTTAAAAAGCATGAATTAGGAGCAAAAGTTGGAAGTTATTTAGAATTTTCTTGTATCTATACAGGGTCAAAAGTATACAATCTTGCCCAGATGTATACATACATCCCCACTATTTGGTTAAATGTCCCTTAGCAAATTACACCTCTTCCAAATGATTTGTTAGCTATCAACAAACTTCAGGCATAATTCTGGCAGGACATTTGACCACTCTTCTTGGTAGAACTGGTTGAGTTCATTTAAATTGGTTGGTTACCTGGCATGGACTCAGCTTTTGCGTAGTTCACAAGCCCGAAGATGTTAGCCTCCTTTATCCATTCCAAAACCAGTTTGTGTGTTTGGGATCATTGTCTTGCTGGAACACCCAGCTGTGTCCAATTTTCACACATCTAGCTGCTGATCTGAGGTGAAGTTGAAGAATTTGGAGGTAGCCCTCCTTCTTCATGTTTCCATCCACTCTGTGAAATGTACTGGTACCACTGGCAGCAAATCAGCCCCAAAACCTGATGCTAAAACTACCACTGTTCTTAGCTTTGAAATCCTCATCTTTAGTTCTCCTAACATGCCTTTTGTTGTGGCCAAACAGCTCAATTTTTGCCTCATCTGACCATAAAACTTTTCTCCTGAAGCCATTAGGCTTGTTCATGTAAACAGCCGCAGGTTTCATCGGAACTTGAGCATGTCAACTTTGGAGCAGGGGCTTCTTTCTTAGTTGGCACTCTCTCAGTCCATGGCAATGTAAAACTTGCTTCACTGTGGACAGTGACACTGGTGTTCCAGCAGTTCCCAGTTCATGGCAGGTTTGATCCTAGGTGGTTACTGGGTTGTTCCTATCCATTTGTTTGAAATGATGATCTTGGAATCTGCAGTTGTTTAGAAATGGCTCCAAGAGACCTTCCCAACTTTTTAAAATCTACAGTCTTCTTCAATGAGTTCATTGGACTTTTCAGGGTTGTTCTGAGATTTGATCAATCCAATTAGTGTTATCAAACACATAATTGTAGTCAATCACGATCACTAATGAGAAGTGCACTTCTAGCGCAGGGGTGTCGAACTCCAGGCCTCAAGCGCCGGTGTCCTGCAGGTTTTAGATATCACCCTGGGTCAACACACCTGAATCAGATGATTAGTTCATTACCAGGCCTCTGGAGAACTTCAAGACATGTTGAGGAGGTCATTTAGACATCAAATTAGCAGTGTCGATCAAGGACACATCTAAAACCTGAGGACACTGGCACTTGAGTTGCCCACCCCTGTTCTAGAGGCTGGCACAAGTGGTAGACTCCCATTAAATTGGCCAATGTTATAACTGAAGTAAAGACAAGCTGGTATAAAAAAATATTTTTCTCTCTATAACTTTATGTAAAGTGGTACAGGAGATGACTTCTTCTTTTCCTTAACCAGTTAAATTTGATGAAGGCTTAAATTATGCATTATTAGGTACATCAAATATCGGTTCTGACACAGTTGTAGCCAGTAGCTCTCTGCTGAGCTTCAACTCAGTTAATTCAAGGCACTGAAATAGCAGTCCGTATAAACACTTACATACATATGAAAAAGGAGAGTCTGTAGTAAGGAACAACATTATTGCCACTGGGAGCTTTCTGCTTTCCATTAGTACTTTGTTTGTAGACCAGGTAGTACTGACCAATCACATTTGAACAGGCTTTCATTGCATGCGGGTGAACCGTGCATGTGGAAATCAAAGAATGAATGTAATTTATAAAATGCAGTCTTAACTGTATATGCTGTATATGCTAATGGTTTATTTGATCTTCAATGTAAAGGATTAATGGATGGAGTGGGTATTGTCCCACATATCCACTGGCTGCAATGAAAGCCCTGAAAAACTGTTTTTTGTTGAGTCATCTATGCAACGTACAAACAAAATATATGAATGCAGGTTGCTGCCAAGGTTGCTAGCTTGGCTGGTAAACACATGATAGCGACTTGAGGCTTTAGAACATGATTTTATAAACCAGTGGTTGACATAGGCTTATAAAGGCTTTATCAAAATTTCTATAGTTAAAGTTACAGGCAGGAGGGTAAATGAGTCTATGTGCTTATATTTTATTCCATATGTTTGGGTATTAAAGCCTTTTTATATTTCTTTATCAGCTTATTGGTATCCTGAGGGAGGTCACTTTGAGCTTAAAGCGACTGATGATAGCAACCAACGCAACACTGTTTGAATTCACAAAAAGCATAAGCAATTCATATGGAATATGGAGCAGCTTGAGAGAGATATTAAATGCGTATCACTGCACATGTGCCTGAGTGCCTGCACATACTCGTGTTTGAACATGTGGTTTGTAAATTTGTGATCACACAGGCAATGCATAATTCCTGCAGAGCTTAAAAGTTGTTTTAGAGTGCAGTTATGCCAACTTATGTGCGTGTGTGTGTAATTGGCAGGATGACCTAGTTCTTTAAATGATCGTCCACGGTGGGGTTAAAGATTTTAATCTGATATTTTCATATGGAGGTGACCTTGAGAACATTGCCAGCCGACCGCACAGGGAAAACGTATTTACGAGTGCGTAAACTCCACTGACCTGTGATGACAAGCGTGTAGGGAACAGAGGCCTCCGTGAGCATGCCCTGTATGTGGCCGGTGAAAAGCTGGAGAGCCTGTCCGCGCCCGCTTTGAGGATTCACCAGTATCATGATTCTGCAAGGCCGACGCACCTCCATATACGCCACACCTGAGAGAGGCAGAGGAAGGTGGATGTGAGTGAAGGCAAGGACAGAGATGAAGAAGTAGGATTTTTAAAGAATGTATAAGGGCAGCCTTTTCCCTCGGGGTCTCTTTGCAACAAAAAAAAAGAAGGATGAGGCAGTAAAGGCACGGGCCATGAGAGCATTCAGGCTGACAACGCTTCATTTTAATGTGACATGCTACTTTCTTCAAAGAGAGAGGGCTTACAGATGCTTCTCATTCGGGATCTCACCATGTATTATTAGCAACTCGTGACATCTTGTCGTCCCCATGAGGAAAATCCTCCTGTTGCTTGTGTCTTTCAAGAGAAGACAGATTAATGGAATGAGAATATCCATTTTCCTGAGGTTTTTAGGGACTCGGCCTTTTCGCTCAAGGGCACATGTGCACTATGGATGCTAGCTGTCAAATACCAATATCAGCATATACTTGGTCAGATTTGGCACATAGATGATGATTAAATCGTGACACAGTGCTCTCCCCTACATAAGCTGCCTTTACAAATTAAAAGTATCAGCACCTGTATTGGTATTGGCAACACTTGCCCTGTATTTACTTGGTAAAAACAACAAAAAAACAAACAACAATATAGCTGTACCACTTCACATCAAATGTGCAAATTTAAACTTCACAAGATTGTGATTGGATCACTTCCAAACTTGTCCCACCTCTAGTTCTGACTGAAAAAAGTCCCTGACAATAACTATAATTAAAAATTAACGCTGCTAGCTTGGCAGCTCCATCTTCAACATCCTTTTCCCCAAAATAACCACTGTCAGAAGTAGAATAATGATAAAGTTATAGTAGATTGTCCACATGACAGCGCATTCTGTAGACAGACAATGATTCCCCACATTGCTCCTGATGCCAAAAATCAACTGCGAAATGTAAAGTAATGATTGTAGTAAGGGCTACTACAGGACTTTGCAATATCTTAACTACAACTTTTCATCATATTCTAATCTGAAAGTTCTGAGAGGGAACTAGACTTCTGCAAGCTTATTAAAGGAACAATATAAAGTTGCGGAAAAACTGAAAGTGAAATGTAGAGAAAGAGCGCAGGAGATGTGGTAGCATAATGGGTTAAGTAAATGACATTCACCAGTGAGAGTGGGGTTTAAATCCCAGGGCAGCTAATTATTTTTAGCCCATGCTCGTTTGTTTGGGGGCTTAAAAGAGAGAGCTGCAGGAGGAGAGCTGTCTAATTTTAAATCTGCAGAAATCTGGAAAAGATTTCTGCCTACTGCAGCTTTAATTGTAAAATACTTGTTGGTTGCAACTAAAAGGATTTGCAGCTTTTACAGAGTAGTTTCCCCCACTGGAGATGGATTTTGCAGCAGACGCTCTTGACCTTTAGAGCACACACAGACTCGCCAGAGACCATATCAAATGAATCAGAAAGGACAAAAACATCATCCCATTTTGGGGCACGGAGAGCAGAACCAGTATTGATTTCTGCCATAAATACATGGCTGCAGATGATGCTGCCTTCCGTATCGGGCAAGCAAAGTTTCTCAGAATCATAAAATGTGACAGATGTAAAAAA